CCCCGTCCTGCCTCCTCGCCCAGCCCACCTCCCAGCGGACCAGACGCTAGCGCTTGGGGTCCTCGGGGTAACCCGGGCTGTCTCCGGGCAAGGTCTTGGCGCTCTCTGTTCGTAACAAACATCCATCCATCAATTCTCACTTCCCTCAATGCAGCACGAGGCTGAACCTCTTCTCCGAGCGGCATTGGCTTCTCCCCAAAAGCACTTTCAGCAGTTCGGAGACCCAAAACTCTGCGTCCGTTGGTGCCTCTGCCTCATCCCGGCACAAACGCGCAAAGCGGTAAGCGGCAGAACCTCTCCTACGCGTGCGTTCACTGCGATGGGGATGGAGACCTTTCCTTCTTCAGCCTCAAGGTGTTTTCAGCTACCTGCCTATCTCGAAGGGCAGGCAGCAGTTCCACAGCTTCGATGAGGTTTCCTAGCGCAAACCTGCACGAGAGAAGCCTGGAAAGCGCCAGTTTAGCTTAAGGGGATTAGAAATAGGTTTCAGTTAAACCGAACCAAGTGTCTCTCTCCGAGGCCAGTCAACAAACCAGCTTTTCTTGTGGGAAGCCCTTCCCGTATGAACGGGAACATCTTCATATAATTTGATTTATTCCCACTCTTCTTCGCAAGAGGAAGTTTCCAACTGAGCAAACGGAAGGAAGAAGTAATTTCAAACTGCAAGAGTTTCCCTTCGCTTGACTTAGGGAGGAACAGAATAATTGCAATGGCGGGGGGGGGAGGTAAAAACATTCCCCCCGAGCAAAGACTGTCTCAGCTGGCCACGCAGCATGGGCGACGCTCCTTAACTCCCAGGAAAACCCGTTACATCTAGGACCTCTCGTTGCAGCGATCCCGGGGGGAGATCCAGAGAAAAGCCCTGTGTGTTCAGAGGGTCGTTCGCCCTTGCCCAGAAATGCTGCGTGGGCGGGAGAGGAGCCTCATTCTGCAGCCGAAGGTCCTCTCCAAGAGTATCTCCCGGCAGATGCGGGACCCTGGGTCTCCCAAAGCGCAGCCCCTTCTCTAAACAAATAAAAACCAATTGGAGAAAGAGCTGGGCATGGCTTTATTCCTCAGTTTCCCAACTAAATTAAAATAGATATTACAGACTAGGCACCTTCCCCCAAGGGGTTTCGGCAGCCTGTCCCTCTGCGAGTCAGCCCAGGCCACCAGCACCCTCTTGTGGGCCAGCGCAAGGCTCGCTCACTGCAAGCTCCACGCTGGCCATCTGTGCATTGCCTTTGCTCTTCGCAAAGCGGCTTCCTGCCCAAGACGGTTGCCTTGAAAAACAGCAGTTTCTCAGAGCTGCTCCGGTTCCACCAGAACCGGATGCTCAGTGCGAGCACGAGCACCCTCCAGAGTCTGCGGGGGCAGAGGAAAATGCCTTAATTTCACAGTGTCTATGGAAAGAGCTCATTGGATCTGCAGAGAGGAAAAGTTTGCTTTGGTTAGATCTCAGCCATAAATGCAGCTGATCTACAGAAAGCTGTTTCAAGTAGAATTTGGTCTGGCCGAGTTTTGGTAACCTCTGAGAGGTCCGAGTTTGGCATCTAAAGGCTTACCCACCTTCAGTAACATCCAGATGCCACCCAACCTATTAAACTTCAATTTCATATTGCTAACAGATGGTGCAAGTTTATTGCCACCCTTGTGTTTGGGTCAGGCCTTAGATAACTGTGGAGATAATTAACAGCATCGAGACGACCCAGACTGATAAACAAGCCTTTTTAAGGACCGCAACAGATGAGCGCCGCGTAGTTCAGCTAATAGTACACCGGCCCAGGCTAACCCCAATCCCTCGCTCTCAGGACCACCAAAGCCTGCTGAAGGAAGTCAAGGGAGCCACGTTACCAGAAATGATGCCCCACAGCCATCCTGGAGTAACTTAACACACCCAAGCTGCGCTACACTATTTCTAACACGGTGGGGACCTTGCAAAGACACCTTCAGCCCCTCGTGCAGGGCCAAGGAGCATTCACATTCCTGGGCTAGCAGCAGCATCCCAGAGCCGGCTTAGTAGGCACTGACTCGCCCCCAGAAAGCCCCTTCTTGGATGAGGCACCAATCGCCCTTGCTCCCGGGATGTGAAGTTTCCGGGCTGACACCGGCTCTGTGGAGCATCTGCAGCAGCCACGTACCCAGAAGAAAATGCAACGTTTGTGCAAGCAGACTGTAAGCACCCCCGGCTACTGAGAGGTTGTACTGGAGGCAAGAGCAGGGCAGCGGCCAGACCAGTGCTGCGCTGACACTGCCTGTGGTATAACACGTAACTACAGCCTCTTGCTGCAGTCACCCCACCACCGAGTGAGGACATCTGCCATTGTGACTTGCGGCATGTGTTCAGCCAGCCCCCTGTGAAGGAAAGAGCTATTTATTCCTATTCATTCCAAAATATCTCACAAGTGCTGGTGATTCTTACGTATTCACCCACAGAGTCTCGCTTTGCATCTACCATAGCAGCAAAAGGCTTTTCAGGATCTCTTTCAGCCACGGATGATTTACCTTACTTTCCCCTGCCCAAGTCTGAATTTCTGTACAAAATACTGTCTAGAGCAGGGTTCCTCAACCTTTTAAAAGTATAAAAAAGAACCACTTATCAAAAAAACCCAAACAACAAAACACAAAAAAAGCAAACAAAAAAACAGAAAGACAAGAGAATGTGCTTGACCCTAAAGGACACTGTCAGGGCCTGATGCACTGAAGGCAAGAAACGTCGTTTAAGTAGCCCAACAGCCAGTTTGCCAAAATCTATATTCACTTAAGGGTCTCACCAGCAGAGGGAAGACATTAATAGATTCCTTTGAGAGAAGAGTAGCTGAAGAAAAAGACCACCAATGTGTCCTGTTTCCTCCTTGGGTTCACCTCCCTGCAGGGAGGAAATCACTGCTGCTTCTTCACTTCGTGTTTTCCAGGCAGGTGAGCAAGGGTATTTCCTATTCCTTTGCTAGTCAGACTGAGCCTGGCTTAAAAAAAAAAAACGAAACAAAAAACAAGCCCCAAACAAACAAAAAGAGCAGAGTACTTGTGTCAGAAGCTGAGGGTGCCAAAAGCAAATAGAAGAGACGCTAAGAGTGCTTTGAATGCAAAGGATACCCCTATTGTTGTGTCTATACAGATGTAGTGCATTGAACACACCAAGAGAAACCTTCTACCAGCTTACTGCTTTTGTGGCTCAGAAGCCTAGTAGCTGTTAGGCGGTGCTTTCAGCCTCATTACCTGTAGCACTGTAGCATGACTTGA